TAGTAGTATTTCTGTTACTTGCAGCCAAACTTATCCCAATTTATACTTCTACAAACTCCTTTTTTTCATCTATGCAAACAGCATACAATACTTTTATTTGTTCGTTGCTTCACCCCCTACCTGGACTGTAAGATCTTGGAGTACTGTCAACCTGCCCACCATACCCAGCCCTAACATGATACTTGGTTCAGGAAATACTTAATGATTATGTGCTTAAATGATCCCTACTTCACATACTTTTCTCATCATAAGCAGAGCTGCTGTGTATGGTTGATGAGTCATGTTCTTGCATAATGGTGCTTGGTTGAATGGAAGCAAGTGGAGGCTGCAGTCTTACCTGCTGTCCATACGCCAATCCATGGATCCTGGCACAGGGCTGGGTCTGCCTACAGGAGGGTAACTTGTTCTTACTTGGCACAGAATTGCTACTGAATGCTGTGGTTTGTCCAGGAGCAGCTGCCCGACTGTCCTGTTTCTCCAGGTCCTCATGGCTGTGTCCCACTCTCTGGCATTCCCGTATTAGGGTTAGCTCCTTTTGCAGGTCCTCAGAGAAGGTTTCGGGTGAGCAGTGGAGAAGGGAAGGGGGAAGGTGGTTTGTACTCAGTCTGAATGGAGATGGGAGCAGCTACAGAGCCCACAGCCAGTATACTCTGGCATTTGCCAAATGGGGAGACCTTATAAAACTGTTTAGAGTGCCACCAGCAGGGCCCACTCTGTGGCATCCAGGCCCTAGCATAAGAAAGGAGGAATTTGCCTGCAGAATACACTGTCCGCGGAAGAGGGGCTACTGGCATGTACACTTGGTGTCCTCACCAGCAGCCCTAGTGCTGATTTTAGTTTCTGCATTTGATGAACCTGAGAGAGGGAATTAATTTCCTGCCTATAATACGACCCTCTGGAGAACAACTTGTCCAAATATATTTTACTTGCAAATGTGGTCTTGGAAGAAGTTCTGTACTGAAGCGAAATAGAGATGATTAAAGTGTGATTTATAGGTAAGGGGAATTGGTAGTTTTATGTCAAAGTATTACATCTAGGGAAGCTGAGAAGGAAAAGGGCTCCTCCCAGGGACAAGAAACCTTTGTAAAAGAAATTATTATGGTTGCATATACTGTCATCCTGGGCACATTAGGTTTCAATATAGCCACACAGTATCCCCCTCTCACCAGATTGTAGAATCCGTGAAGGCAGGGATCAGGTTCATTCCATGTTGAGATCCTCCAAATAGGAGCAAATTTGCACTTTTAGTTGATGAGAATGGGCAGCTGCACTGAAAAGTCACTTAAATCTCAGAGAACAGGGCCACCTCTTTCTTCCTCATCAGCTGAGTACTGACCCCCCTAAGTCCCAATGCAATTCAGTTTTGCTAACAACCATTCCTCCATCTCTACCACTACTTCCCACCCCTACCCCCTACCCCAAGACCTGCACAAAGTAAAGGGTCCAACACTGGGCTGCTTTCGGGTAATTCGCAGTACAGTAAGACAACAATAAACCTTTGTGGAGATCAGGCTCTTGTCTAACTACCATTGGTGCTCAGTAAGTGACACTCCAAAAACTATGGCACCTTGCCACATTGAGGACTTTGGGCTTCTGGAGATATGAAGGACTCAGAAGCAAGCTCCATGCCAGGGTCTCCCTCATCTCCTTCCTTTTTCTCACCCTTCTTCCTCTTGCCAGTTACTCACAGAAAGCAGAATCCCTCCTCAAGGCAGGTGCTAGGAGCTAGAACCCTGTTACGGGCAGAAAATCTAGTAAATTCCTTCTGAGGGGTGTTCACAGCCAGTAGCAGGAAGTACTGCTTTAAAGAGATCAAGAATAATTTGAACAGATGGATGGAAGGAGGGAGGCCAATGAGGTCTATCACCTTATATCACACCCTTTTTGTGCAGTCATTTTTGCGCAATGAAACGTCAGCAAAAAGACAAAGAGCTTTCCCTGGGTCTTTGAATCTTCACTTGTAAAGTCTCCCATGTCACAATTGATTGAACAAATGTGTTAGGCCTTTCTCTTGCATTGATGTCAGTGGTGACCCTTATCGTGAGTGGGGAAAGCCATTACATCTTGTGCCTCTCCAGCACTCTCTGAGTATTACTTCATTCAATCTTCACAACCCCCGTCCCCATAAAAGATACTATTTTTATGCCATCTTGAGGTTGAGGAATGGAGCCTTGAAGAGGTTAAGTCACTGGGTCAAAGAATCAGGCAATGGAAAAAGCTGCCGATTACATTGCTCCAGTCACATTCAACTGCCTATCTCATTTAGCCCTTAAGAAGTGACCTTTGCTGTTCAGTACAAGGCGTTTGGTGCCTTGGAGATTAGAATCCATGCAAAGAGTGGGTCTTGCTTACTGCTTTATCCAGGAAGTTTGAAGATGGTAAAAACTCTGCCCCAGGCTGACTAGCAGCTTTGGGAAAAACCCTCAGGTCTCTGCATTATGGAAGCCTAAGTTTTTCTTGGTATTATGATTATTCATTAAAATACCCATTAAGTGCTTGGCATCTCTAGATCAAAGATCCTGTAGGAGGACAAGTAGTTGTTAACTAATCACAAGCTGCCAGTTATAAGCTGCACTTATAACTCATGGTTGGGAATTGGGTAACAGAAACCTCCCACCACTCCCCCAGGCCAGGAGCAGAGAGGAGTAAAGTCGACAGGGAACACTGAATTTTGGGATCTGTTACAGTTGCCCTGCCAAGGAATCCCAAATGCAGACAGTTGGACTTTTAGAATGGCACTGAATTGGACTCCTTTCTCTCTAATCCCACCCACGTGTTCTTCCATAGGAGACACACAAGGTATGTGGGCCAACACTGTCCATTCTGGGTGCCTAATGTTGGCCCCACTTCTTTGGAGTCTTCCTAGGTGATTTTCCTAGGTCACCTGGATTTTTTCTCATTCTTACCTCAGAGCTACCCCATAGAGCAAATACACTAGGATTTCATGGTATTGAAGTGAGCCTTTTCGTCTTTGTCTTCCTGGCAGGGCTAGGAGTAGGCACTATTTTGGGGGAAGTCACATGAGGCTTATTGAAACTCTCTTCCCATAAGTACTAGCATATGTGTAGACACATGGCAGACCCTCAATAAATGCTGTGGTTGAACCTAGCAGATAAGATACCCATGGCTCTTCTGGCTTAGAGTCTTATTGCACCGTGCTGGGGAAGTCAATGGAGTGGATTCCAGGACAGGTGGAAGAAGGGAGGGCTTCCAGCCCTTCACAAGAGCAGAGTCAGTGCCATCAGAAAAAGACCTCATTGGTCAGTTTGCAAGACACTGGCTTTGGAAGCAGTGGCAAAGCAAAAGAGCTACCTTGAGAAACTGAAGATGAAAAAGACCTGAAACAGGGGCAATTCCTAAGTCATTGGATGGAAAATGCATCCCTTGTAGTCTTAGAAGTGAAAAAGCTGAATCAATTGAGCAAGGCCAAATTTTGGTGGCAAAAAAAAAAAAATTTTTTTATTAGTTTGGTCTCGGAATCCAGCTAAATAAATAAATAAATAAATACACAGAAAACAAAAATGATCAGTTTCCAGGAAACATTTGTTACTTAGAAGTAGCACCTTTTTGCAACCATATTTACTAGTCACGCTGGCTGTGAGGATCACTCTAGCTAACAAGGACGAGAGCCGAGATCATTTTCATCCATCTGGTTTTTTCACAGGGTTGTTAAGAAGTTACCTGCAATCTTGACAATTTTCTGTCCTTAGCCATCACTTCACTTGTCTTCCCTTTTGATCTTCTGGGCACTTAAAATGCCACCCTCTTACACCTTGCAGAGAGGTGAGGCAAGAACTGCTATGGACGATGCTGAATTGCAATTTCAACCATCCTTTTAGTTTTTCTCTAAGTTAGGCATCCAAAGACTAAAGTTGGTTGGAAGTGCAGGTGACCCTGAATTGTTGGCATTATCAACAGCTCTGCAAGAATGTCCTTATGGATACAGGAACTACCATAAACTTCTGCAGGATTCCTTCAGCAGACCAGATTCTTCAGTCTCCATTTAAAGCTCTTGTGTTCTCATCCATCACAAATTTATGATGGCACTGGCTTTAGAACATCATGTTCTTACTGAATGTCGTAAAACCAATGTGCTTGAAAAGTCACTGGTATAAATAACACTGAAATTCACACTTTTTTGCAAAATAGGGACTGATCCATCAGCATGGGATTGTGAAACATTCAAAACATCCTGGCACACATACCTTAAATATACTAATAAATTAATAAATACACAAATTATTTAAATATTTAAATAGCATTAAGGTCAGTGGCAACTTAAAAGCTAGAAAATCTATGAATAATTGTTTCAATAGGCATTTAGCATTTAGATATAAAAAGATAGCAAATTTATCCTGATCCTAAAGCTTTTTTTTAAAATAATGTAAATGGAAAATAGCTTTCTTTTAGTCTATTCTATCATGTCTTTTAAAAAGTTTAGCCTAATATTTTCTGCTTTTCCTCCAAGACTTTGGCATGGGAACCTGAAAAAGAAGACCAAAAGTACATATGAATTAGAAATGCAGTAGCAGATGTTCACTAGGATTCCATGAGGGAAGGCACAGCTCTTTCTCCTGCAGCCTGGAATATGGCTGCTATCATGCTTACCAGAGGCTCTCTTAAGAGTTCTTAAAAGAATTATCTGGTTGCATTATTACTCAGTGGCTTCCCAATGTCCTCAGGGTAAATACTGGGAAGCTGGCAAGTCCTCTTTGCTCTTATTCCAGCCACTTCCACTCCCTTCTTTGCACTCTCTTTCTAGGAGAACAGGACCTATGCTTGCTTTCTTTGCTGCCATAGTGCCTATCCCAGCGCAGTGCCCAACATAACATAAACATCAAACAAATGTCTATTAACAAGCAAATGTAGGTTTCTAACTCTGGGTTCCCTATGCCAGTCACCTCCTCCTTCTCCCTCTTTCCTCTCCTGCACAGCCTCCCTCAAACCTCCACTATGGCCCTATGCTCCCCAAGTATTGCACCTGAGGACACCCTGCTCACCTAACTGCAGGACACAGATGCCCATTCACTCCAAGATGAGCTATAGTAGCGGTCCCGGGACTGCACGCGGATCTTGGCATCCTTGTGGCACGTGACTGTGGCTGAGGTCTTGTCCACACACAGTCTGTCTTTCTGTAAGGAGAGAAAACTCTGTGAAGGCCCATTGGCAGTGCAGGGACAAGACAGGCTGAGCCTATTTCTGCTAAGATGACCTCCCCAGAAAAGCACATCCCAGTCTTCAGGCACCATCTACTGGAAGAGGTTCTAGGCACAGAAGTGCTTGTCTGCTTCATATGCCTGCTGGGAGTAATCCTTTGGTCCTGCTTTCATCCTTGTGGTCCATCCTTCTTGCTCAAAGCCCACAGTACAGAGCACCAAAACACTACACCCTGACCCTTTCTTCAGACAAATTGGCCTTCAAACATTAAAATAAATTCCATCCCAGAATATCCTCTTTTATCCCCTACATTTTTTTTTCAGTTGAGGGACTGAATCACTGGTGTATATATTTTTAAAGACACTTATTTATTTTACTTGAAAGGTAGAGTAACAGACAGAAAGAGAGAGAGAGAGAGAGAGAGAGAGAGAGAGAGATCTTTCATCTGCTGTTCACTTCCTAACCAACCAGAGCTGGATTGTTCTGAAGCTGGGAATCACGAGCTTTTTTTTCTGGGTCTCCCAGGTGGGTGCAGGGGCCCAAAGCTTCAGGCTGTTCTTTGCTGCTTTCCCAGGCCACAAGCAGGAAGCTGGATCAAAAGAGGAGCAGCTGGGACACAAACTGTCACTTACATGGAATGCCAGCACTGTGGGCAAAGGATTAGTTGGCTACCCCACAACACTGGCCCCAATCACTGAGTTTTGAGCCATGTGCTAATGCTATGCTGAATAAAAACTTTATCCACTGATTTTTAAAAGTGGCATTCAAGGTGGCTGGGACTCTAGCAAAATGCTCTGGATCCTTGTAAGAGGAAGGGAATTCTGATGCTTAGGTAGGAAATATAGAAAGCCACCATCTTAACCTATGTAAGTGCAGACTTCCTATTAAAAGATTTCATAGGGCCTGGCACGGTAGCCCAGTGGCTAAAGTCCTCACTTTGCATGCACCAGGATCCCACATGGGTGCCAGTTTGAATCCCCGCTGCTCTACTTCCCATCCAGCTACGTGCTTATAGCCTGGAAAACAGTAGAAGATAGCCCAAAGCATTGGGACCGTGCACCTGCGTGGGAGACCCGGAAGAAGTTCCTGGCTCCTGACTCCAGATCAGCTCAGCTCTGAGTGAACTAACAATTGGATGATCTTTCTCTCTGTAAATCTGACTTTCCAATAAAAATAAGTAAATCTTAAACAAACAAAAAAAAAAAGGTTTCATAGTGTCTGGAAAACTTTGGAGTTACCCGTTTTGCAGGAAGTATAGCATAAAGTTCTACCCATAATTATATTTTTTCAGTTAAAAACAATTACTTTAGGCTCCTGGAGCCCAGGTCTCCTCCATCAGGACCAGTCCAGAGTGCAAAGATTAATGGTGAACCATGTCAGAAGCAATGTGGTTGGGTATCTGGCCTTTAAGTCTGGCAGACTGAGTTGTGTGACTTTGAAGCTAGGGAATCTTGAGCAAGTCACTTCACCTCCCTGAACTTCAGTGACTTCACTTGTGAAAAAAGAACAGAACTAGCTTTCTTCCTAGGTTAATTATGTGGATTAAGTGGTGGAAAACCCTTAGTAAAATTCCAGGAACATAGTGCTAGAATGATCACATTCTAGATCATTCTCTGCTTTCTTCCTGATGTGGGCCTTCAGAGACCTCACAGGGCACGCTGTGCCTGGACCACACCTTACCTTTTCTTTCTTGTTCTTGCTCTGCACCTGAACACAGAATGTAAGGGAAAAGTACGAATGTGGGGTACTCCAGGTGTCAGGGTATTCCCAGGTGACCTCAGCATGCCGAGAATTCTTCAACAGCTCAAGCTGCAGGTTCTTGGGTGGGTCGGGTTTGACTGTGGAAGAGGAGAAACAGCCTTTATTTCCCTGGTAGGCCTTTGGAGTTAGGCAGCTGGGCTTTGGAACCCATTGCCACTGCGGCCCGCTGGGAGTCCCTGGACAGTGGCTTCCACTTCTCTGAGCACCTGGCTGGCCCATGGGAGGCACTTGTGTTGCAGATGCTCATGACAGTGCCCAGGCAGGCAGTCATCATCAGCATCCAAGCTGTGGAACTTGAGAAAAGCTTCAGCATCTCTCCTACCACTGCCAAGCCCAGTGGGCCATGGTGATGGAATCAACTCTGTCTGGTGCTTGGAAGAAGTTTCTAGAGACAACAGCAAGGCTCCCAGGTCTGGGCACTGCAGCAAAGGCCCACCCTCTCTGTGCTCAGTCCCTCACTTTGCACCCAGTCACACTGAAGCTGAACCATCACTGGGATGACAGGACAGCTTTTCCATGCTTTGCATTTTCTTTTGTCTTTTTGTTATATTTCCTTCATTGACTTGTCCCAAAGTGGATAATATAAATGGTCTCTAAGCGATTCTAGGCTCTCATGTGCCAGCCATTGGAGCGTGCATGGAGGATCCCACACTGAGGATCACAGAGTCTATGCCCAAGCCAAGGTATCATTTTCCAGACTAGGGAGCGAGACACATTCTGTGGTATGTATTTGGGCTCTGATGGCTTAGCTCTCCTCACAGGGACCATTGCTTCTAGCCAGTGCTTCTCCAAGATTCTTCACTCTGTTCTTCGTACCTGATATCTCCTTAGAGGGGTCTTCCTTGACTACACTCTGTGAACCAGCCCTTCTGCCTCACCCACCAAGTATACACACTCCATATATTTTTGGGCAAAGTTTATGGTGATATCACCCTTTATCATGATGCTTGTTTACTGGCCAAATACATGGTACAGGAATTAAAGGATGACATCCATTTTTGATGGGCTGATAGAATTGTAATGTGCCATATATGTGTGCCAGATGAGATTATATATAAGCAGGGAAATTGGGTTCTGAATGCAAATATTGTGCATGAGTGACTCTTGGATTCACCATGGGCAGTACTACCTGGGCAGTAGAAAAGAAGGATTGGGAATATTCTGCTCTTTCTGGTGGGGCACCTTGGATCTGAATTGTCCACAGTGGGATATAAGACCTGGAGCAAGTTGCTTAAGCTTTCTAAGACTCAATTCCCACCTCTTTAAAATGCACACAATAGTATTCATACTGCACATTTTTGGAAGCAAATAGTAAGAGACAATACGTGAGCCCCTTACCCTGATGCTTGGAATGTTGTGACCCTTAGAAAGCACACACAATGAACCCCAACTCACTGATGTCCCTAATGAAGAAGCTGCTGGTGTAGTTTTCATATTTGTCCTTTTGACGAGCGTCCAGCACCACCTCAATGTGCAGGCTCTCCTCAGCCGTGGGGCAGGCACTGTCCTCCTGACACTCCACTGAGTACTTCAGGTACTCCTTGGACATCTCCGCAGACAGTGTTGGTGCTCCACACGTGACTGCTTGTGGGTCCGAAGAGCTGCAGACAGAGATCATCCTATTAGACACAAGTGGCAGCATTCTAGGAGTGGAGCCAGAAAGACAGGTAAAGTGTGTGTGTGCAGAACACAGTTTTTCCATGAATAATAAACTGCATTCCTCAGGAGAACAAGCTTGGCTTCAAGAGATAGTAAAAACATTTAGAAATCTCTTTTTATGGGCCTGATGCAATGGTTCAATGTCTAAATCCTCATGTAGGTGCCAGTTTGTGTCCTGGCTACTCTACTTCCCTTCCAGCTCCCTCCTTGGTGCCTGGGTTGGCAGTGGAGGATGGCCCAAAGCCTTGGGACCCTTAACACATGTGGGAGACTCAGAAGAAGCTCCTGGTTCCTGGCTTCAGATTGGCTCAGCTCTGATCATTACTGTCACTTGAAGAGTAAACCAGCAGGTGGAAGATTTTTTTCTCTCCATCTCACCATAAATCTGATCTGCCCTTCCAGTAAAAATAAATAAATCTTTTTTTAAATCTCTTTTTATGTTTCTGACTTAAATGATTCTTAGTTTTCTGTTTTACATCTCAAATCCCTGATTAAATTTCCTTACTAAAATTTTAAAGTTATCTTTCCTTATTTTAATAATAATAAAAAAAGTCATGGGTCTGAGGAAGTAGCCTAGCAGCTAAAGTCCTCGTCTTGAACACACTGGGATCCCATGTGGGTGCCAGTTCTAATCCCAGCAGCCGCACTTCCCATCCAGCTCCCTGCCTGTGGCCAGGAAAGCATTTGAGGACAGCCCAAAGCCTTGGGACCTTGCACCTGTGTAGGAGACCCAGAAAAAGCTCCTGGTTCCTGGCTTTGGATCAGTTCAGGTTTGACTAGGTTCTCCCTTTTTTAATCAATGGGTTGCCTCTACTTTCTAATACAATAGTTCTAGCAAAAAAACCTGAAAAACTGGACCAGTTTCACTTACCCTCTGTTGCTTTTGACACTGAACCTCATATCAGTAGTGTTTGCTGTCAGCCACCAACAGGTGAAACGTCCGGAATAATTCTTTGCCTCACATTTTAGAAAGGTCCTTTGTTTAGGTTCTGGGTTTAGAAAGGACAGAAATTCAATATTTAGGTATTTCCTTTCGGAAAGACTTTGCTCATGATTAGTCACAGGGTACCACATTGCACAAAGGTGATATTCCCTTTATTCCTTTGGAAAATTCCTCCACTCCCCTGGTGAGTGCATGCTCCAAATCTAACACCCGAGACAGAGGTATGAATGTTGTTGTAGGCTATTACTCTAGTGCTGAGTTATGCACTGCACATGTTAGTTTAACTTCTACTAGCCATCCAATAATATTGCCATAATTTTTTTTTAAAAACCCATGGCCATAAAACAAGATCAGATTTGGATGGTTGACAACCCAAATGATCCAGAAAACAAAGAATGGAAGTTCTTTGCAGGTGTCAGTTGACTGTTGATTAACTTAATGTTGGTCAATAGTACCAGTCATATCTTGGATTGTCAGTATTTTATTTTTGTATCCTTTAAGGAATGAAAGGGAAAATTGGCACCATTCCAGGGAAAGGAATTACCTTTCTGGTCCTTTAAGATTTCAGTGGACCAAATTCCGTCTTCCTTTTTGTGAAGCAACAAGTGTGAATGGCCCAGAACCTCTCCTCCTTTGTGGCAGGTATAATTGCCAGCATCTCCAAACTCTTTGACTTGGATGGTCAGGGTTTTGCCAGAGCCTAAGACCTCACTACTGTGTTCTGAAGTCCAGGTGATGCCGTCTTCTTCAGAGGTGTCACACGTGAGGACCACCGTTTCTCCCGGGGCATCAGGGTGCCAGTCCAACTCTACAACGTAAACTGGACAGGGCCAAGAGCAGAGAACCAAGCAGTAAGCTCCATGAATTCTGAGATGGTGTTTTTTATTCTCTGGCTTCACATTCCAACTACCTAAACACTACTTTGTTCATAAGAAATGTTTGATAAATGTTTGCTGAGATGATCTCAGGACATTGGGTCCTGCTTGGACTCATGGTTGTTCAACAGAAAAGCAAACTGTTCTATAGCTGTCATTGACCTATAAACTGGCAGGCTGCCTTTCTTCAAGGATTCACCTCTGATCAGCTAACAGAGGGGCAAGTGCTTGATAAACCTAGAAATGCAAACAGCATAAGCTTGGAAAAGGTCTGGTTGAGATAAACTTGGAACACAATTTCAACTCACAAGGAGAGAGCTGAAAGGAATAAGGTAGGGATTCAGTGGAATAGCTTGGACTACCTGGGACTGGTTTCCTCCACTGTCAAATGATAAGAATGATATCCATGCTGCAGGGTTGGCTACCAAGGTTAAATGAAAAGAATCTATGAAGAACTTTCTCTGCTATATTGTACTGTTAGTTGCAATTGCTGTACTCACACCCAAAACTCTTACAGTTTTCCTTGGGAATCAATGATTTAGTTTAGCTGCATGAACCTCATCTATGAAGATTTTCATTATTTCTGGCTTTGTTTGTTTGCTTTTAACTATGGAGTTCCTACTTATGGAGAAGGGTACTGAGACCAACAGGTTAAGTGCAGTCACTTCAAGTTTGAAACTCGAGCTTTGATTTAGACCTTTTGTTTTTTTAGGCTTAGCAGTGGATTTCATTGACTTGCCTAGTAAGCCATTTGGGAGGTGTCACTTTGTAATAACCAGTTTATAGTTAAGGAAACTGTGGCTCAGCTAGGTTGACCCAGCTCAAGAGCAGCTAATCAATAATTGACAGGACTGGGATTTGACCCCTGATCAACGTGAGTCTAAATCTGGTACATTCTCCAAAGTTCCAGATCAAAAGAAATTCTCAGAGGGCAAACGGAAGGCAAGATACTGTGTGATGGTGTGGGGGATGACGGAACATTGTTCTTACTTTTCGAGTCTCCCTCTGTGAAATTTAATCATATGAATATCTGGCTTTTAATAACCTTGGCAAATACTATCTCTTCTCCTTCCATGGTCCACCAAAATCTCTTTTTTTTAGCATCTGTATTATTTTTTGTAAAACTAAAAAATTCTGTATTATTTTTTGTAAAACTAAAAAATAATACAGATGCCTTCAAAGTAAAAGCAAGCAACGTAACATTGCATTTCCAGAGAATTGGTTTCTTACTACAAGGACCTCATGCATGGTTGTCTATTTCAGTCTGATTACTCTGAAGTGGCTGTCTGGGAGTCTAGCTTAGAATGTGGACTGCATAGAGAATAACAAGAGCTAGTTTACCATCTTTCTCCAGTTCCCATATTGCCATGAGTGGAGATGCCAGGAGGATCAGCACAAACCAGGAGGTGACCAACTGCTGATGACACATCTACAAGGAAGGGGAGGAATAGGAAAAAGAGGGAGAAAGGGGGAAGAGGGCATGTCAGTAATGTTGCAGCTAACTTGAGGAACCATGTGTGTCTTCTGTCTACACTGTTCTAAAAGTTTATTTTCCCCCTTTCTTCTATACACTGTTGGGTGTTATGCCACCTCTAGTTAGAGAAACGCAGGCAACCTGGAGCCAAAAGACACCCAGGGCCAACCTTCTGAACAATCCTCTTATTTTTAAGATAAGAAGTCTAAGCTTTGGAGAAGGAACATGACTTGCCTGGGTCAGCATTTGGCAGCTATTTATTTGGGGCTTCTGTATTAAGAGATAGAAGCAAATTAAAGGTGTTACCTGGATTTTGTACTCCAGGGTCAAACGCTTTCAGCACTCAATAAAGACTGTCTGTGTGTCAAGTGCTTCCCTCCCCTCCAGCTGAGGAAACAAGCCACACCCTTGCCATCACTCTAACTTGATGTAGAGTCAGGGCATTCGGGGCTGATGGGTTTGGGATTGGAATCAGAAAGGAAATGCAGAAGCTGAACTTGAAAGTTCCAGAACCAATTCAGCCATGAGTTCTCATCATGGAGGTTGAGTTTCTCTTTTGTGGACACCAATTACTTGGAATTTTAAAATGGCTCTCTCCTCATAAATGTAATCCAGTGGTTCTCCTATCTGAGTGTGTGTGAGGAGGTTGAAAACCTGACTGCAACAGACCAGTAGCCCAGGATGTCTGATTCAGCATGTCCCAGGTGAGGCCTGAGAGTTGGCATCTGTGACGTTGCTGGTAAAGCAGATGACATTGATCTGGGAACTGCACTTTGAGAACAACGTTTAAAACTTATGTTCAGGGGCCCGGTGTGGTAGCCTAGTGGCTAATTCCTTGCCTTGGAACTGCCAGCATCTCTTATGGGTGCCAGTTTGTGTCCCAGCAGCCCCACTTCCCATCCAGCTCCCTGCCTGTGGCCTGGGAAAGCAGTCAAGAATGGGGCAAAGCCTTGGGACCCTTAACCCATGTGGGAGACTCGGAAGAAGCTCCTGGCTTCAGATTGGCTCAGCTCTGGCCATTGCAGCCACTTGGGGAGTAAACCAGTAGACAGAAGATCTTTTTCTCTATCTCTCCTTCTCCCTGTACATCTGACTTTCCAAAAAAAAAAAAAAATCTTTAAAAAAAGTCACTAAGGAAAAGCTAAAATACAATAACAGCATACATTTTTTAAAAAAGCATGTTCAGAGTCCAGAACTCCTAAAACTCAAGGTGTTCTTTGGAAGAAATATGAAAAATATTCACATATTAATCATAAAATAATGAAACTCATACTTCCCTGAGAAATCAAGCAATATCTCTGATTGACATTTAATTTAGATTTATTTTCAGGTTCATGAGAATTTCTAGGTTGAAAATTGCACCTCACTTATGAAGTAGGTAGAGGTGATAACTGTTTAATTTCATTCTGAAAATCCTCTCCACCCCCTGCTTGGCACCAGTGTGCTAAAGGAACAGGGTCTTGGTGTGAGTAGTGTGAAGAACAAAGCTCAAAGAGAGGCATTTGGCACAGTGGTGATGATGGTTGGATCACCAGCATTCCAACTCAGAGTGCCTTAGTTGTAGTTCCAGCTCTATTTTTTCTTAAAGGTTTATTTTATTTTTATTGGAAAGTCAGATATACACAAAGGAGGAGAGACAGGAAAATCTTCCGTTCATTGATTCACTCCCCAAGCAGCCACAACAGCTGGAATTGAGCTAATCTGAAGCCAGGATCCCAGAGCCTCTTCCAGGTCTCCCACACATGTGCAGGGTCTCAATGCTTTGGGCCATTCTTGATTGCTTTCCCAGGCCACAAGGAGGAAGCTGGATGGGAAGTAGGGTTCCTAGGACACAAACTGGTACCCATCTGGGATCCCGGCACTTGCAAGGCAAGGACTTTAGCTACTAGGCTACTGCACTGGGCCCAATTCTATTTCTGATTCCAACTTCTTGCTAATGTGAACCCGGTGAGGCAGCAGGTGATGGGCCCAAGTAACCAGGCCCCTGCATATGGGAAACTCAGATTAAGTTCAGGGCTCCTGACTTTGCCCTGGCCCAACCATTGCTATTGACAGCTACTAGAGGCATCTGGGAAATGAAACAGATGATGGAAGATGTCTATTGAACTTTCTTTGCCTTTCAAATAAAATAAATGAATAAATAAGTCTAAAATAGAAAAAGAACAAGACTCAAATGTCTCAGCCAAATCCTTTAAAAATGGACATCCTTTGGTTGGGTAATAAGAAATGAATAAGGAGAAAGCGCCTTGCTATCTGAGTTGCTGCTAACACAGAGCGGCCGTGCTGAGTGAATGTATTGTCTTATATGATAAACCTTGTGAGTGGCAGGGACAGGACCAGAAGTTAGGACTTCTTGTGTGTGTGGTTCAGTGCTGCATGGAGGGTTAGGAACAAACATTATTACTATATTGCCTTATTTTTATTGGAAAGGCCAATTTTATAGAGAGAAGGAGATGCAGAGATCTTTCGTGTACTGGTTCACTCCCAGAATGGCTGCAATGGCTGGAGCTGAGCCAAACCGAAGCCAAGGCTAGGAGCTTCTTTCTATGAGGGTGCAGGGTCCCAAGGCTTTGGGCCGTCCTTTGTGCTTTTCCAGGCCACAAACGGGAAGCTGGGTGGGAAGTGGAGCAGCCAGGACATGAGCTGGCACCCATATAGGATCCTGTTGCTTGCTCGGGGCAAGATTAACCAAGTGAACCTTTGCACTGGACCCAGGAACAAACTTGCTGGTTCGGTTCTACTCATGACTTTACCACTAATCCACATGGAGCATTTGTTTGCACAATGCTTGGAGTGAAGGAGACCTGGGCTTGGATTCTGGTCCTCCCATTCTCTTGCCTCTGTCACATTGGCTGTTACTCTCTGAGCCTCGTGATAGTTATCTCAAAGGGTTGCTGGGAGTTGAAATAAGATAATACACTATGAAAAGCAACCACTAACAAATTGGCTTGTGCCTAGAGGAAGAGATCATTGGATATCTGTCTGCTTTGTTTACACTAGATCATCAGAAACGCTGTGTAGGGAAATGCCCAGTCAGATACTGTAAAATCCAGATGTCGGCTCCCTGGGAATGGAAGTGAGAGGATTCCTGGCATCTGCTGTTGATTTCCTTGCTCTTACAGTGCTGGGGCTCCCCGCTTCAGCTACGCGCTCAGCACTTCCTCCCGGGATCTCAGCTGCATCTGAGAATTTCAGGTGAGCTGTGCTTCAGTATCCGGAGAGCACTGGCGATGGTTCTAAAGAAACAACCCCCATTTGATTATCAGCTATATTGTAAATTCCGGAACCCTGACAAGGGGAGAAGATATTGAGGAAGTGACCCTCTTTTGAAAACAAAACAAAACAAAAATATCTGAGGAAACAAACAAACAAACAAAAAAGAGCGAGACATGAGCAGGCCTCACCTCTGGCTGCTCAGCTGTGACTGGGGAGCCATAAGCTGAAGCTCACATTTCGTTTGAGAGCCTTGAGGAGTAAGCAGCTTCCCCTTGCAATTTGTAGATTTTCTGGACTTTTGAAACCCTTTCAATGAGGGATGAAGGCAGTCCTGGTTCTGGTGCTAAAACTTTCTGACACTGGCACCAACACAGCCTAGGCATCTCCTTTTCAAGTTGTATTTAAACCTAATTTAGAAAATTAGGTTAAAAAAATAAAAAGATAGCAAATCACAGATTGACACAAGCAAGGGAGCCCAGTCGGAGAGCCGGGTTATTAGCTAGATGACCCTGGGCAAGCCAACTGATGTCTTTAAACCTCAGACTTTTAATCGGTAAAGTGGGCATCCTGTTAAGGTGAGGAGGTAATGAAATGATTCATGTGAAGTCTCCAGCATCGTGCTCAGGTGAAAGGAAGACCCCTCAGCTATTTGGTCTCCTTCTTCCATAACATTAAGGAAGTGACCGTACTTGGGTCATTGCTTAACATTTAATTTCCCTGCCACACAAAGCTCTCCTATGGTAGAGATCCCCAGAGTCTAGCATAGAGGTATTCTGTGAATTATTAGAATAAATGAATGAATATATTAAAAAAATAAAATTTCATCCCTGTAAAATAAACTAGACAGTCATTCCTTAAATTTTAATATACTGAAAGTCGTTTGTTTAAAGAAAATAGTAATTAGCTGGGATTTAGTAATCCTTTTAAAATGGTATTTTGGAGCTGGAATGGTGGCATAGCTCACTAATCCTTTGCCTGTTAGTGTAGCATTCTATATGAGCACTGGTTCACGCCCTGGATGCTCCACTTCTGAACCAGCTCCCTACGTATGGCCTGGGAAAGCAGTGGGGTTGGGGGGAAGTTATTGGGCCTCTGCACCCATGTGGGAGACCTAGAAAAAGCTCCTGACTCCCACCTTCAGATCAGCTCAGCTCTGGCCATTGTGGCCTTTTGGGGAGTGAACTAGTGGATGGAAAGTCTCTCTCTCTGTCCCTTCTTCTCTATATATAAAATTTGACTTTCAAATAAAAATAAGTAAACCTTTATAAAAAATATTTCAACCCAATTATGTTGTTGCACACAGTTTTACTTGGACAAGTAGGAGACACTGGTATAATAAAGATTATCCTTTTTTCCTTCTCATAGATTTTAAAATGCTTCAGGAATTAAGTTTAAGCATTATAAAATATTTCCATTATCTAAGTCTGAGAAAAGTTAGCTGATCTGAAAGAATTGGAAAAGGCAGCTATCAGTTGGCTGATTTCACAACTATCAACTCCATCACAAACATATCAAGTGTAATCTGTAACATTCAATGGTAAGTATGAATTCATTTACTTTTAGGAATATATGAAAGATTTTTAAATGGTTTTCAACGCTAAAGCAGACACTACCAAATTTATGTAATACGTTAGGTGATAGACATTCATATATTAGAAACACACTTTTAAATAGAGCATTTCAAAATAAGACAGGAGCTGCCATTTGGCCTGGCAGTTAAGATCCTGCTTCAGGCCTGG